GACCTGTCTGCTTGTGCCAGCCATGTGGACTCCCCCCAACCTTTCAAACCATAGCGTTTCATTCCCTCTACTACTTCATACCTTGTGAAAAGACAGTCGCTGTGCTTGTGCTCTCAGCACGATTGACAATGTCGCGAGGCATCAGGGGCGGACTGGCCAGACTCGGTCATGGTTGCACCAAGGGTTCCTTTCCAGTGAGCTGGCCGACCCATTCAGGAGACTTGCAGACACCGTGACTTTCAACGTGCAAGGCTATCCAAGGCCAAGGCTATGCAAGGCTGTCGTGTGGAGCATGGCGTGGGCAATCCCCCCGGTACGGGAAAAGTTCTATCCATGTCCCGCATGTCAGCCTCACCATTGGTCAGGGGCAGACTGGCCAGACTCGTTCATGGTTGCACCAGCGGTTCCTTTCCAATGAGCTGGCTGACCCATTCAGGAGGATTGCAGACACCGTGACTTTGAACGTGCAAGGCTATCCAAGGCTGTCGTGTGGAGCATGGCACGGGCAATCCCCTCGCGGCGGGAAAAGTTCTATCCATGTCCCGAACGTCAGCCTCACCAATATTGGATGTCCCAGCGGAAGATCCGATCTGTTTGCTTGTGCCAGCCGACTCCCCCCAACCTCTCAAGCCATGGCGTTTCATTCCCTCTAATTTTTCCTTCATACCCTGTGTGACAACAGTCTCTGCGCTTGTGCTCTCCAGCCAGTTCAAGCACGACTGACAAGGTCGGAGGCATCAGGGGAGGGTTCCTTTCCAGTGAGCTGGCCGACCCATTCAGGAGGATTGCGTTCACCGCGACTGGCAACGAACAGGGCTGTCCAAATCTGTCGTGTGGAGCATGGCATGGGCAATCTCCCCGCGGGAAAAAATCTATCCATGTCCCCACCCGAACCACTCAAAGCCATGGCGTTTCATTTCTTCCACATTGGAAGTCCCAGCAGGAGATCCGATCCGTCTGCTGGTGCCAGCCGTGTGGACCCCCTAACCACTCAAGCCATGGCGTTTCATTGCCTCCTTACTGTACTTTACGAAAAGACCATCTCAGCGCTTGCGATCTCAAGCCAGCTCAAGCACGATTGACAAGGTCACGAGGCATCAGGGGCAGACTGGCCAGACACGGTCATGGTTGCACGAGCGGTTCCTTTCCAATGACCTGGCTGACCCATTCAGGAGGATTGCAGACACCGTGACTTTGAACGTGCAAGGCTATCCAAGGCTATCCAATCCAAGGCTATGCAAGGCTGTCGTGTGGAGCATGGCATGGGCAACCCCCCCGCAGCGGGAAAAGTTCTATCCATGTCCCGAATGTCAGCTTCACCGTTGGAAGTCCCAGCGGAAGATCCGATCCGGTCTGTCTGCTTGCGCCAGTGTGGACTCCCCCTAACCTCTCAAGCCATGGCGTTTCATTCCCTCTTCTACTTCATACCTTGGGAAAAGACCGTCTCTGCACTTGCGCTCTCAAGCCAGTTCAAGCACGATTGACAAGCATCAGGGGCAGACTGACAAGTCACTGACAAGACTCGGTCATGGTTCTGTTCCAATGAGCTGGCCGACCCATGCAGGAGGGTCAGCATGGGGTTGCAGTCACGCTGACACCATGCCATGCTATGCAAGACTGCCGTGTGTAGCAGGTACTCCAGCTGCTTCAGGATCTCCGCTCATCAAGTCAACTCTATTGAAGCTTTCCCTATCGGAATGCAAGATGATCATGGCGAGTTTGGAAGACACAGCGCAATGAGTCGTGCATGGTTTTTCGCCCCCTCTAGCTTCTTCGGTACCCGTTTATTATAGTGGGGTCGCCCTGTCCCAGGCTACAGTAGTCTTGAGGACTGTTGCAACAGTCTCAGGATCCAGGTGGTCTGCGGGGTTTCTACCTTAGGAAGGCACTTGAGTATAGTTCCGACGATGCGCGCGCCCAAACGCGCGGAGACGGAAGCAGCTTCATCTGTCATGAAAGCACAACAGGGGCATCAAAACAATCTCAAGAGCTTTTGAGTGTTCTCAGAAACGCTGGCAACACCCGCAAACTGACTGGAGCCTTTTCGCGATGTGGCGACCAGCGACCAGGCGACCATAACGTGCCCCCCAGGCCTCCGTTTTAGCCTGGCCTTCGTTTCAGTTGAGCAGCGGTTTTTTTTTACGGCTCTTGAGAGATACTTATATGCGGAAATAACTCCGGGAACCGGGGCGTGAAAGTGCATGGAACTGTGGCCGCGGAAGCACGCGGAAGGGTTGCGGAAGCACATCTCCGCGGAAGCTCCCGCGGAAGCGACGATAGAAACAATTTTGGTTTGAGTGCTTGTTATATTCCAGGAGGCTAGTGGGCGTGTTGTTTGGTGTGGGTTTCGGAAGTCTGGTTCCGAGTGGGTTATGCAGATTGGTGTTTTCTGGGAGTTTTGCGGTTACAACCCTTCGTACGAAAGCATGGACGCAGTTCGGAATAAGGCTTCTTTTGAGACCCTAAGCTTCCTACACAAAGTTTTTAAAAAAGCCCTAAACCCGTGTAAACTCTCAACCCCAAAGCAAGCAAGTCAGATTTTCAGGCTTGAGCGCCCCCAAACCTGGCTTCGAGGCCTTCTATCCGTGAAGTTTGATGCGAACTCGGCGGAAGCGCCGCGGAAGCGCCGCGGAAGCTCCGCGGAAGCTCCGCGGAAGCCCGCGTGCCCATCTGAAGGCCCAGGCCCTTCCTACTGAGTCCATGTTCTTGAAAGTAGATGGTACCGCTGCGCAGCTGCTGCCAGCTCAAGCTGCAGCATTCTCATGGAACGCGTGTCTCATCGTGTAGTCTCAAAGTTCCAGACGCGTGTTCGAGTTTATATCTTACGGACCTACTCGCGGAAGCAAGTTTCTCAAAAATGCGCGAAATTAGTCCGCGGAAGCGTCCGCGGAAGCAAAGGAAGCGGACGAGCAGAAACAATACTCGCGGAAGGACCGCGGAAGGGTTCCGCGGAAGGGTTCGTTATTTCATAGAAAATCTTCTAGGAATAAAAACCACGGCTCAGTTGGCCTCGTCCATTAAAATATTCTCACACTGGCCCCAAGCACTCAGCATCTGTCGCAGCAAGTTCAAATCCACGACCTATGCTGCTCCAACACGACGCTCCTTGACTTATCGGACTTATCGGATTCTCACCGCTGGTGTTCCAAGGCGATCCCGGAGAAGGGTCGGAAAACTTGAAATGGCACTGCATCACCAATCCTGGGCACCTCCTCGAAGGCGTAGCATGCAGCCAAGAGGCGTATCCATACAGCGTCACATCATGCCACGTTGGGATGAAGCCCCTTGCCTAGATCACGAGCTGGACAAGTACTAGTTAGGATAGGTTGGATCCTCCCAAGCGTGCGCAATTTTGCTTATTCGGGAATGCGATTTCAACAAAAGCGCCTAGTTCGCGTTTGGGTGGGAGGGGTCTCTGTTCGTCCGTCCTGTTCCGGGGTCCCGTCGGACTTTTTCAGGGCGACATGGTTTGAACCACGTCGGGGCTGCTCCACATCTCATAGCCCTATGGATTTGCTGCGCGACGTTGGCGGCCGAGTTGCCCCGAGTTACCTGCGCTGGAGTCTGCAGATGCGGCCTTTTCGGCTGTAGTGGTGGAGCTCGCTGCGGCACTGCCCGCCATGAACTCCTGCAAGCCAACAGGGTCTGCCTTGCTCCGGACCAATGCTACCGTGGCCACAATTCAGCAAACTCGGCAGGCCAGGCGCTCTGGCTTGGATTTAGAACGTGATGTGGCCCTGGTTAAGCAGCCAGGTTTTCTCCAGTCGTCAGTTCCACAACCCTTAAAAGGGGGCAGTAAGCAGACCCTCCACAAAGTGAGTGCATTGTTTCGGGGTAGCTCAAGATAGCTTCAATCTTGCTGGGATAACTCCACGTCCGCGGAGGTTGCCACTTTAAAGTCCACTTCATTCACCTGAGCAGACACTTTAGTTGCCTCCAGGTGTTCGGATGGGCCCTTTTGTGTTTGAAAGGGGTCTGCATTGCCGCTGCGGGCCTTCGTGGGCCCAGTGGGTGCACGGATGATCCTGGACTACGGGGCCTCTCTTGGGTCGATAGATGCCTCTCTTGAGTCGATCGAGGCATACTAGCCTGCTCACTAGGGGGACCCTTGTTAGTGTAATCTGGGAGGGGGTGATTCGACATCCAAGGGGGAGCCTTAACATGCGAACCTCCCCCCTCAAACTCGCATCCATGCCGATGCTCACAGGAGAGAGAGTGTTCGATGACTTTCAGCCACGCTTTTTTGCAGCCCCGGAGGCAGCTAGGATCTTTCAGTGCCTGTCGAGATGACTGCATTGCGCAACTGATTCGACCAGGGTGTTGTTTGAGACCACCAAAACTTTTCGGGAACTTGATCCAGACTCAGGGGCAAACGAAAGGGCAAACGAAAGGGCATCAATCACCACGCGAACCTTGGACAAAGTTCGTTGAAGCCCGCTGGCCTTCGTCGAACCCCCACGCCTTCTACGCTTCCCCCCTTGGTCGAGGCTTGTTGGGGTTGTAAGTCTTTCTCTTGCCGTCGTCGGAGTCGCCAGACTTCGCCGAGGTTCGTTTTGGAGGTTTTGGGCTTACAAGGTTCGCGCCCCTACAAACTCAGGGGCAAACGCAGGGGACCCGCCCAAAGGGCAATTACCGTGCGAACCTTGGACAAAGTTCGTTGAAGCCCGCCGGCTTTCGTCAAACCCTCACACCTTGGTAGAAGCTTCCCCCCTTCGTTTCGGGTTCATGATTCGTCGACCCTGCTGAGGGCAAGTTGAGAGGTGGGAAGGGAAGAACACTAGGCTCGGCAAGAGCAGCTTGGTAAACCCTTCTCTTGCCGTCGTCGGAGTCGCCAGACTTCGCCGAGGTTCGTTTTGGAGGTTTTGGGCTTACAAGGTTCGCGCAAGGTCGGCTGGCTGGGGGTACGCCTTTGGGGGCGTTCCTTCTGTTCGGCCACTACAAACCTAGTTCTCCCTTCCTCCTCCTGGAGTCTAGCTGGCATCCCGGCACTGCCACTGTGCATGTCACGGGGCCTTGAGGTAAGAAGCAGGAGATTTCTTGGGGGGACACTTTGTTCTGCAACCGATTCCAGAACTCTCGTGCAAAATCCTGCGGGCTTGTGGTCTCGGATCCAATGCAGAAACACCTGTCGTGCCTCTCTTCAAGCCACGACTGCTCCTTCTAAGAAAACGTGCTCAGCAAACCCTACAATGATCATGCTTGGTGGCGGCGCTCGCACTCTTATTGTGGAGTGCCCATTCAGACGCATGCATATTGGCCAAGTCCTCTCTCTGTGCCCGCCGGAGGAGTGTTTGCTCTCTGGCTTCCCCTGCGAGCTGCTGTGCCTTGCCATCCAGATGCAGGGTACGATCCTGTGTGGCCAAAGCCTAGGAGGCACGGTGGCCTTGACCATAGCCGTGAGGTTGACAACATGTGGCCTCTGTGTGCATGGCGTCGTATGCCTTGATTCCCGCTGCGACCGTTTCTATGACTTGTTCTCAGCTTGGCCAAGGCTGCCCCCAACCCTGCCACATTCCCTGACGTCGGTACACTTCCGACTTGCCGCGTCGCGAGCTGAAGACTATGTGGACTCGCTGGTGCCGCGCGGGCAACTATCAGGCCGCTTCCCAAACACAGCCGACGCGGCAAAAGGGTGGCACTGCCGAGCAACCTGGCGCTCCCAGCGACTGCTCGCAGATGCTGGCCATTACGGCATGGCACAATCCCATGCCTGGGACATCAACCGCTGCATCCAGGCCGAGATTGCTCGAAGCCGGGATCCTAAAAATTCCCGAGAATGAATATTCGAGAATGCCCTACCGCTGGCTCTGCTACCAAAAGTGTCAGTTCCAATGTGGCAGGCTTCGAAGCACATCGTTTCCAAGTTACGTTCCTTAAGTCATTGATCTCTCCAGATGTGGGATATTGAGCCTTGGATCGTATGAGTGACTTTATAAATTCTATTTATATGTTTATGAATATATATGTATATAACCCCCCCCCTTAAAAATCTGGGAATGAGGGGGGGGGGTACCCCCACTACCGCCTATTTCCGGGCTTCCCCGCCGCTTATTTGTCAAGAAAATAAGCGGGGAATTATCGGTTAGCTTAAGTTATGGGGCTGCCTGTCATGTTAAACAAACAGCATGGGATGTAGAGCCCAACTCATTCCATTCGACGAGGAGTTTAGAGGGTAGGGGCTTCAGGCTTAATTAAGGGGTTCCAGGTTTGGGTTCGGAGGTTGAAGGGTTGGTGTCTTGAGGGTGAAAAGGGGTTGAGTTTTTGGGCTTCAGGGTCCAGGGCTGGTTTGGTGAAGGATCAGTTCCTAAATTGTCCTGCGTAGCTGTGCCCATAACTTAGTCATGCGTTTGTTTTCCTATGTTCAAACTAGATTCGCAAACACAGGCATAGCATTGTTCCCTCGGCCTAACACAGATTATGAAGGGCACTTTACAGGAGTCTCGCAATCTTGGGAGGGGTAGAGGGCAAGTGAGAAATAGGCGGGGAGGGATGGGTAGGGCATGTTTTGCACTCCTTTACAGATCGGTCTCTAACTCTAGGACTCCACCCAAGCATCCCAGGGTCCCACAGGGGGCATCCTGGGGCATCCTGGGGATCCACAGACAGCTGGAGGTGGCGGGGGGGGGGGTTGGGGGTGGGTCATAAAGGGCAGGGCCTGTTGCACGCTACAGTCCCCCCCCCTCCTTCCCGCTTATTTTTGGTGCGTTCCGGGTCCTAGGGTCCCACAGACAGCCAGAAAATATCCTAACAGTTGTACAACACGTCCCACAGACAGCCAGACAGGGCCTCTTGCACGCTATAGGGGGTTTTGGGACGGATAGGCACAGCCCATATGTGATACCAGACAGGGCCTCTTGCACGCTATAGGGGGTTTTGGGACGGATAGGCACAGCCCATATGTGATAGCTTGTCCCTTTTGTGTGTCTGTTCCGGAACCTGCTGCAAGACGATGGCGGGGGAGACTCATTGAGGTCTTGCGAATTTCTCCCGCCGTCGTGTTGTAGGTTCAGGAACAGACACAAAAAAGGACAAATTGTCACGTGTGCTCCCAGGGCCACACTTCACAAACTCAATTTGGCCATGAAACGTACACTAAAGCAGACACGTACTTGTAGCAGATACAGACGCCGGTGAAGACAGCTCGCGCTAAAGTGGTTTCTGTCCGAGTGCCTTTCTGAGAGGAAATGCTTTGTTACAATCCCCCTCCCCTCCCCCCCCGAAACCTTAAAATAAACGAAATATACGGGCCGCTTATTTCCGGACCACCCCCCACCCCGCCACCCCCATAAGGGGGGCACTCAAATATGTATAATATATATATATATATATATATA